TCATGTCAACAAAGCAGCTTGCTTTGTCGACAGAACTGGTTGTAGTCTAGACGCTCTTTGTCGACAGAAGTTTTGTTGACAGTATCTGTCGACAAAAGCCTGTAGTCTAGACCTACCCTTAGATTCTGGGCCCCATTTTCCTAGTCTTTGTCTGTAGGCGCGGTCTGGTTTTGAATGGTTTCTATCAGCTGGATAATTCATTGTGCAAGAGATAAGGTTAGCTCAGTGCTTTGAGCATTGGCCTGCTAACCTGAGGTTGTGAGTTCAATCGTGGAGGGGCCATTTAAGGATTTAGGCCAAATCTGTCAGGGATGGTACTTGGTCCTGCTGTGAGGGCAGAAAACTGGACTTGATGATTTTTCAAGGTCCCTTCCTGCTCTATGGGGTAGGTCTATCTCCATATATTCTAAATCAGCTAAGGTGTTGGGGTCTGATTGGCTAGATAATTCAATTACAATATGTTAGCAAAAGAATTGGGTAAGGTAGCTAAGCAGGACTTGGGCTTTACCATATAAAGTGGGGTCCAAAGAGGAGACCTGGAAGAACTTACCTCCAAGACACAATCAGAGCTACCACAAATCCTTTGAAAAACCGTGCCATGCAGCAGACAGAATGAAGACAAGACTGACTTTGCCTGGCCAACAGGGGAAGTTCACCTGCCTTGATTAGGACTGGTGAGCATGATGAAGTGTGCTTAGCATGTGCATTTTGCTTGCTAATAAATAACGGGTGAGGCTATTTACTAGGTAAGGTTCAGCAAACACCCAGGAAGTTATGCCCTGAGTCCTTGGAATTGGGGTAAGGTTGGGTATTCAGTTAACAGGGTTATACCTTGAGCCCTAGGAATTGCATAAAGGTGGGTGCCCCTAGAGCTTGAGCTTGGGAGTGACAAACAACAAAGGAAGTTTTTCTTCACCCAGGCACAGTCAACCTGTGGAACTCCTTGCCAGAGGATGTGGTGAAGACCAGGACTTTAACAGGGTTCAAGAAAGAACTAGATAAATTCATGGAGGTTAGGTCCATCAATGGCCAGGATGATGGTGTCCCTAGCCGCTGTGTGTCTGGAAACAGAGGGCAGGAAAGGAACCATGTGAGGATTCCCTGTTGTGTTTCCTCTCTCCGGGGCATCTGGCATTAGCCCCTGTTGGCAGATGGGATACTGGGCTAGATGGACCTTTGGTCTGACCCAGCCTGGCCGTTCTTGTGAATTTTGTGCAGGTAACTAGCTGGGGGTATGTCTACACTACAAAGTTAATTCGAACTAACAGCTGTTAGTTCGAATTAACTTTGTAGTGTAGACATACCCCCAGCTAGTTACCTGCACAAAATTCACAAGAACGGCCAGGCTGGGTCAGACCAAAGGTCCATCTAGCCCAGTATCCCATCTGCCAACAGGGGCTAATGCCAGATGCCCCGGAGAGAGGAAACACAACAGGGAATCCTCACATGGTTCCTTTCCTGCCCTCTGTTTCCAGACACACAGCGGCTAGGGACACCATCATCCTGGCCATTGATGGACCTAACCTCCATGAATTTATCTAGTTCTTTCTTGAACCCTGTTAAAGTCTTCACCACATCCTCTGGCAAGGAGTTCCACAGGTTGACTGTGCCTGGGTGAAGAAAAACTTCCTTTGTTGTTTGTCACTCCCAAGCTCAAGCTCTAGGGGCACCCACCTTTATGCAATTCCTAGGGCTCAAGGTATAACCCTGTTAACTGAATACCCAACCTTACCCCAATTCCAAGGACTCAGGGCATAACTTCCTGGGTGTTTGCTGAACCTTACCTAGTAAATAGCCTCACCCGTTATTTATTAGCAAGCAAAATGCACATGCTAAGCACACTTCATCATGCTCACCAGTCCTAATCAAGGCAGGTGAACTTCCCCTGTTGGCCAGGCAAAGTCAGTCTTGTCTTCATTCTGTCTGCTGCATGGCACGGTTTTTCAAAGGATTTGTGGTAGCTCTGACTGTGTCTTGGAGGTAAGTTCTTCCAGGTCTCCTCTTTGGACCCCACTTTATATGGTGAAGCCCAAGTCCTGCTTAGCTACCTTACCCAATTCTTTTGCTAACATATTGTAATTGAATTATCTAGCCAATCAGACCCCAACACCTTAGCTGATTTAGAAAATATGGAGATAGACCTACCCCATAGAGCAGGAAGGGACCTTGAAAAATCATCAAGTCCAGTTTTCTGCCCTCACAGCAGGACCAAGTACCATCCCTGACAGATTTGGCCCAAATCCTTAAATGGCCCCTCCACGATTGAACTCACAACCTCAGGTTAGCAGGCCAATGCTCAAAGCACTGAGCTATCCTTATCTCTTGCACAATGAATTATCCAGCTGATAGAAACCATTCAAAACCAGACCGCGCCTACAGACAAAGACTAGGAAAATGGGGCCCAGAATCTAAGGGTAGGTCTAGACTACAGGCTTTTGTTGACAGAAGTTTTGTCGACAGATACTGTCATCAAAACTTCTGTCGACAAAGAGCGTCCAGACTACAACCAGTTCTGTCGACAAACCAAGCCGCTTTGTTGACATGACAGTGTAGACGCAAAGGACAGTGTAGATGCAATAACGCCTTCTGACAACAGAACTCTGACAACAAAAGGCGTTATTCCTCGTAGAATGAGGTTTCCAGCCGTCAACAAAACTGCTGAGTTCTGTCAACATTATGTTGACAGAACTCAGTGGCAGTGTAGACGCAAGTATAGTTTTGTCGACAAAACCCTGTAGTCTAGACACACCCACAGAGCGAGGGTTTCACAACCCCAGCAATTGAGACGTGGTTCCTTGCCAGAGGAAATGCTGTTGCACTAGGTTTTCTCTACCCATCTTGAGATCTGTTTCTCAGTCTGGTGACAGTGGGGACCATTAGGACAGAGGCAGCTTCTAAGCAGCCTGGTGTGACATTATTTGCATGCCATTTAGACGGCCGGCCCTCCCTGCTTTGCAGCTAAAGGCTGCTGCTCTTTCACTCTGGCTGCAGACGAAGGCCTTAGGTTTTAGGCCTTACAATATGGCTACCGAAAAAGGCAGAACGGAGAGAAAATTGACTGATCCCCCCTTTCTGGAGTGCAGCGCTGGGTCCAAGCCACCAGTTTGCTTGGCACCGTGGTACCAAGGAATAATGGCTGCAACTTGAGTGGCCCCGGGGACAGAGCCGGCTCGAGCCATTCCTGCACCCCGGGCAGCGGGCATGTGATGCATGCATGGCTCTGCCCCCGGGCGCACGGCGCATGTGTGGCCCTGCCTCCCCAGCACGCTGCGCACCTTACAGCTGCTATCGGGCACGCGGCGCCTGATTGCAGCTCTAAGGGGCGCTGTGTGGCCCCCGGCCCCAGGCGTGCGGCGCCTGATGGCAGCTCTAAGGGGCGCCATGCTGTGCCCCTTACAGCTGCCATCAGGAGCCCCCCCATAGGTTGGCGCCCTGGGCAGCTGCCCGGCTAGCCCCCCCCTTAATCCAGCCCTGCCCGGGGATAAATGTTAGAGCCAGATCCTGGGGTAACTCCAAAGTCCTGTGGAGGATCTGTCCCTAACTTGTTAAGGGAAGGGTCTGGACTCCAGGCCTGGGGTTACAGACACTGCCACATAGGGACTCCAGCACAGTAGCCCCTTATGACCCTGCAAAGTCAGGTCCCACAGGAAGTCCTAGGGGACTCCCAAGACAGATCCTGGATCACCTGACTGGCTCCCATCCACTACTGAATGTGAGCTGAATGGGTGGATTGTCTGAGCAGTTAGGCAGGCACCTTGTTGCATCCGCTCCTTGCTTCTCCCCTGCAACCTGCATCTGACCCGGCTCCACTCCTGTCTTATCCTCGGCATCATCATCTCTGGTTCCTGCCCCTATATCCCACTCCAGATGAGTGCCTATTAATCTCCTCTCTGACCATTGGTGCTGCTCCTGACTCTGACCCTTAGGCCAGACTGTCTGTGTTCTGAGTCCGAACAGTCCCTGGCCAGAGTGGATAATGATGGAGCTGTAGTTTCCTCCCCCACTTCACCGAAGGTTCAGATAACGGGGAGGGGTCCTGTGTATTTCAAGCTGCCCTTTCATTTCCTCCTCACTTCTGGGCAGGAGTGTGTCACCCAAACAACTCCACAACGAAGCAAGCGAAACGTTCTAAAGCTTTTCCCTCCTGCGGGTCTCCAAGAGTGTCGCATACATTTGAGCTAATCGACTGAGCTCCACAACCCCTCTGAGCTAATAAGTGTGATTATTCCCATGGGACCAATGAGAAGCCGAGGCTCAGGGTGGAGGGGTGGGAGGGTGAAGTGACTTGCCTGAGGTTCCACAGGAAATCTGTGGCAGAACCAGGGTTTGGCTCCAGATCTTCTGGCTCCTGGGCTGTGTCCTAGGAGACCCCAAATGGGTGTAAGAGGAAAGTCACAGCAGATGAGCAACTCTAGGGTCAAAGGGCTGGAGCCTTGCTCATGGCCAGCCTATGGGAAGGGCTTCGGAAGAAGGGATTTCCTGGAAAGGAGGCCAGAGTGTGTCATGGCCCTGTCTGGAGTCCAGTCTGAGGAAATGAGACGCCCATTGCTCTCCTTTGGTTTCATTTTCCCAGGCTACTCAGGGCCTTGAAGATGGAGGCTGCCATATCCCTGGCGGGAAGCCAAGGCATTATCTCCATTGCCGGGATCCTCATTGCCTCTGCTGTCTTCTGTCTGATCTCCCTGGTCATCCGATCCTTCCGGCAGCAGCTCCCCCAGGGGCTGAAGAGGCTGCCAGGACCCTGGGGTTACCCCCTCATCGGCAACCTGCTGGAGCTGGGGAGCAATCCACACCTGACCCTGACCCGGATGAGTCAGGAGTATGGCGACGTGATGCAGATCCGGATTGGCACCCGACCCGTGCTGGTGCTGAGTGGCTTGGACACCCTCAAGCAAGCCCTGGTGAAGCAAGCGGAAGACTTCATGGGGCGCCCTGATCTCTACAGCTTCCGATTCATTGCGGACGGCCAGAGCTTGGCTTTCAGCACGGACTCAGGGGAGGTGTGGCGAGCTCGCAGGAAACTGGCCCAGAGTGCCCTGAAGACCTTCTCTGTCTCCCCCAGCCCCAACTCTTCGTCCACCTGCCTGCTTGAGGAGCACGTCTCCAAAGAAGCCGACTACCTCGTCGGCAAGTTCCTGCAGCTGATGGAGGAGAAGAAAAGGTTTGAGCCCTACCGGTATGTGGTGGTCTCTGTGGCCAACGTCATCTGTGCCATGTGCTTTGGCAAGCGTTACAGCGACGAGGACCAGGAGCTGCTCAACATTGTGAATGTGACGCACGAGTTCACGGAGGTGGCTTCCTCCGGTAACCTCGCCGATTTCATCCCCGTGCTCCAGTGTCTCCCCAGCCGCACCATGAAGAAGTTTATTGAATTCAACAGGAGGTTCCTCAGGTTGCTGCAGGACATGGTCAAGGAGCACGATGTGAGCTTTGAGAAGGTAAGAGACTGGGCGGGGGCCTGGGGGCCTTGCTCCGAGCTGAGATGCGCTTCCCTCCTGTGCCCTTCAGCTCCTGCACAGCTGCGACTCCACGGGGCACCTGCTGGCGTCACTGTGACGGCCACATGACACTTCATTGAAAGAGCAGGATAGAATCGTTACCTTTCGCCAATTTCACAGGGCCCTGCCGACTGAGCAGCAGCAGACTCTCCAGTCATTGTTAGCCATACAGGGCCAATGACACACAGCTGAGCAGCGCTGACCTCAATTCACAGAGAACACTTGAGTCTGGGCTGGGCGAATGGAGATTATGCTGCTTTTTTGCCAACCTGAGTAGCCAAAATAGCATTGTATTACCCTAGGAATTTTACAAATGCATCTGCCTTGTATCTATTGTAGGATAGCAGTTACCCTAGTTTCTATACCAGTAAATTTCTCTCTCTAGACACATGCTGAGGGTTCCTTTGCTTAGCACCTTTGTCTTTTATTTCCCAAAAAGAGGCTTCTTTGGGCATCCTGCACTTCCTGCCTGTGTATTCCCATCTCCTTCGTTTTATGGCTCAGTGAAATGTCACTGACTGATCGCAGGGGAAGAAAATACTCTCCCGACCTCCCCTTTCTGTCACGGCTGGGATTTACTCCCACCAGGGTTCCCTGTAAGCTGTGCACTTGAGCAGCCACTTGGAAAGATTCAAATGTTGCCCAGGTGATTAGAGAGTGCTCACAGCTGGCAGCATCTGTTTCCATTGGTGGTGCACATTGCACATGCCTTGGGGCACATAAAATTTATTTCGCACACATATGGAAACAATTAGAAGGAACGTTGACACACACTCCTGTGGGATTTTCAGCACACTGTCCCTTCACCAGTAGATTGCTCTTGGTTTGTTCTCAGTTTGCCTGCCGAGCAGGCTGGAATTTCATGCCATCTTCCTCTGGACTTTCCTCTCTCAGGGCAGCATCCGAGACATCACGGACTCCTTGATTGAACAAAGTCAGGAGAAGAAAGTGGAAGCCAATGCGAACATTCAGCTCCCGAAGGAAAAAATTGTCAACCTGGTCAATGACCTCTTTGGAGCCGGTAAGAACAGCCCTCATTATGTTTTCAGATCTGAAACCACTTTCTATTTTTGCCTTCCAATAAACTGGTAAATATTAGCCCCTTTTTTATCTCCCCCCAATAAGAACACTCTCAGCTGCTCTCAGTAGCAGAAAAGAGATCATATGCATTATTTCACTCTCATGCCTACTAGGAACAACCCCGAAGACTTCCTACATTTGAGGAAGAGTTTGTAGGAAGACAGCAATCGGGGAAATGAAGTTCCCAACAGAGAGTTTTGTTCCCCTATTTACCAACACTGGTCCTGATTAGGGATGTAAGTGACGAGTCGACAACCCGACAAGCCTACGTTTATTGGGTTATCCAGTTGACTAGTCGCTTCCCACCCCCCTTGGTGTGTCTGTAACGGACGCACCAAGCCAGGGGGAGCAGGAGCCGGTGTTAAAAGCCGGCTTCCCCCAGCATCGTCTCCGTGGGGGGAGGCAGAGGCGCAACGGGGAACCCACACTAGTGGGGACCAAAATGGTTCCCCACTGGCACGGGGTCCCCAGTGCTGTGCCTCTTCCTTTGAAATGTACAAGAGTTCAGGTATATTTCAATGGCAGAAGCGCAGCAGAGCGCCCCCTTATTGACTAATCGAGTAGTCGATGGAAATTCCATCGACTACTCGATTAGCTGATTAATCGACATTTAACATCCCTAGTCCTGATTCAGCACTGACACTGGGGAAACCACACTGATTCTCTTGAAATTGCCTCAGTAGTAAACAGAAATAATACAGCCACCCTTCAGGATCAAACATAAAACCCCATTAACTAGGAACTTTCTTATCACAACTTTTGGAGTTGGGCACAAACCAGGGTGCAGTCCAGGAAAATCCACTGACCACCTAATGCCAGGGGCTTGTAAATTTCCCTTGGCCAGTCTTCATCTAGTATCTGTCTTTCGTCTCTGCTAGGTTTTGACACTGTGACCACAGCTTTGTCCTGGAGCCTCATGTATCTTGTGTCTTACCCGGATGTTCAGAAGAAGATTCAGGAAGAATTAGGTAAATGCATGTTTTTAGTCCCAGTTCAAACATTTCCTCCGGATTCCGACCATCCTTTTCCACCTTTTTCTAACCTGTAGATCAGACCGTTGGCAGAGAGAGGCGACCCAGACTGTCAGACCGGCCCATGCTGCCTTACACAGAAGCTTTTATCTTAGAGATGTTCAGACATTCCACCTTCATGCCCTTCACCATTCCTCACTGGTACATGCTAGGGATGCAGAGAGGGTTTAGGGGCGTAACACGTTGTGTGGTACCTTTATTCACCATGTCGCTACCATGACAGTCCTCACCATGGGAGCGAGGCAAAAACCCAACCCTTGGGCTATGTCTACACTGCAGCGTTATTTCGAAATACCAAAGTGTGTGTCTACACAGCAAGCCCATTATTTCAAAATGATTTTGAAATAACAGGCATCTTACTCTGACTTCTGTAACCCTTTGTGGCAGACCTAAGCCAGCAGGCTGTCACACTCTGGTCCTATTTGGTGTCCAGGAGGTAGGCAGGCGCCAGCCCTCCCACATCTAAAGGACCTCCCCCCAGCCTATGGGGAGGGTCCACAGAGCCCAGAAAAACAACTAATTACGTGGGACAAAAAATGAGAAAACAGGGACGGGTGTGAGGGTCAAAGGGCTAAAACAAAGGAACCGGATGGGGACACCGAGCAGAGAATCCTGGCCATCGCCCACTGCCCCTCGAAGGTCTTGAGTGAGCTGGCGGCCACCGCCCAGTGGAACTCTGCCCGGATGCATGAGCGGAGGCAGGAACAGGAATAGGCCCCACAGTCACAAGCCCCTCCCTCTGCTCCCTGGTTTTGTAACTTGCCCGTTTGGACAGGGGGAGGGTCCACAGAGCCCAGAAAAACAACTAATTACGTGGGACAAAAAATGAGAAAACAGGGACGGGTGTGAGGGTCAAAGGGCTAAAACAAAGGAACCGGATGGGGACACCGAGCAGAGAATCCTGGCCATCGCCCACTGCCCCTCGAAGGTCTTGAGTGAGCTGGCGGCCACCGCCCAGTGGAACTCTGCCCGGATGCATGAGCGGAGGCAGGAACAGGAATAGGCCCCACAGTCACAAGCCCCTCCCTCTGCTCCCTGGTTTTGTAACTTGCCCGTTTGGACAGGGCCAGGAGGAGGTTGACCAGGAGGTCCCGTGAGTTTGCGGTGCCCTGAATGGAGTGTGCGTAAAATCCTGGCCATCGCCCACTGCCCCTCGAAGGTCTTGAGTGAGCTGGCGGCCACCGCCCAGTGGAACTCTGCCCGGATGCATGAGCGGAGGCAGGAACAGGAATAGGCCCCACAGTCACAAGCCCCTCCCTCTGCTCCCTGGTTTTGTAACTTGCCCGTTTGGACAGGGCCAGGAGGAGGTTGACCAGGAGGTCCCGTGAGTTTGCGGTGCCCTGAATGGAGTGTGCGTAAATAAATAGGTGAGGGGAGAAGTGCAGCCAGAACCTCAACAGGAGGTTCTGGAGGACCCGAAAGAGGGGCTGTAGCACTTGAGGTAGACGTGTGCCAGGGCCAGGGTCTCCCTCATGTGATGTCACAGAAGGGGCAAGTGTTGGGAACAGGGGTGAATTGCGCCAAGTACATGCCCATGCTCATTGCACCGTGAAGGATTCTCCAGATGATGTCTCCAGTGGGCCGTGGAATCAAGGTGGAATAGAGGCTGGCCCACCAGGGCTCCCCACCCTCTATTTGCGGTAGGAGGTCCGAACCTCAACAGGAGGTTCTGGAGGACCCGAAAGAGGGGCTGTAGCACTTGAGGTAGACGTGTGCCAGGGCCAGGGTCTCCCTCATGTGATGTCACAGAAGGGGCAAGTGTTGGGAACAGGGGTGAATTGCGCCAAGTACATGCCCATGCTCATTGCACCGTGAAGGATTCTCCAGATGATGTCTCCAGTGGGCCGTGGAATCAAGGTGGAATAGAGGCTGGCCCACCAGGGCTCCCCACCCTCTATTTGCGGTAGGAGGTCCGGCCACTTGGTGTCTGAGTGGGACACGAGGGTGGGGAAGCGCAGCGTGTGAAGCACGAGTGTGTACAGGTGACACTTTGGCACGGTTCGGAGGGGGACCGGTTGCAATGCATGCAGCAGGCTCAGGTGACGAGGGGGAGGCGGTCAGGAAGGTACGTGGGGCTGGAGGCCAATGAAGAGCTCAGGAGGGCTGGAGAGGGCACAAAATCATGCCAGTCTAGACGCAGCCTACGACTTTTGTGGGCCCTAGGCACATTTGCCTTCGTGGGCCTTCACCCTCTATTTGCGGTAGGAGGTCCGGCCACTTGGTGTCTGAGTGGGACACGAGGGTGGGGAAGCGCAGCGTGTGAAGCACGAGTGTGTACAGGTGACACTTTGGCACGGTTCGGAGGGGGACCGGTTGCAATGCATGCAGCAGGCTCAGGTGACGAGGGGGAGGCGGTCAGGAAGGTACGTGGGGCTGGAGGCCAATGAAGAGCTCAGGAGGGCTGGAGAGGGCACAAAATCATGCCAGTCTAGACGCAGCCTACGACTTTTGTGGGCCCTAGGCACATTTGCCTTCGTGGGCCTTTTCCTCCATAAAAAAATATTAAAAATGATTTTTGATATAACTTTAAATACTTCAACATTTTATTTTTTTTCTCGTTTAGGCAAAATTTAATAGATTTTTGTGGGCCCTAAAAGTTTTTTTTTTTTCTGATGTGAGAAAAAAATTAAACATTTTCTTCGACCCTAAAAGTTCATTTTTTTCTTCTGATTTTAAAAGAAATTAAAACATTTTCATGTGCCCCTAAAAGTATTGTGGGCCCTAGGCACTGTGCCTAATGGATAAGTCGGCCCTGGGTTTTCGCTTTCCAGAGCTACTGGAGCCTGCTGCAATACAATGAAGGCAGGAAAACACCTAGGGCTAATTAACTAGATTGCTCCCTCAAGCAAGTTATTCAACACCTGCAGCCAATGACAGCCAGGGGAGTTGCTTTAAAAGGCCTCCCCTAGGTAAAGAGAGGGGGATGACAAAGAGTGACCAATCGGAAGGAGAAAAGGGAGGAACCAGAAGAAGCTGTGTGTGAGCAACCAGCTGGTGAACAGGTACCAGAGGGAGACATTTTGGAGGGGTTGTTTGGGGAAGTGGCTCAGGGAAAAAACTGGCAAGTTGGAAGGAAAAACAACCTTGATGGCTGCTGCTACTTGGGCCGGAGCCTGGAGTAGTGGGTAGGCCCAGGTTCCCCCCAAACCTTCTCCCTGCCAACACAGGGCCTGTCCCAAGAAGGCCTATCAAGGGGTTTTCTCCCCCAAACCATGGACTAGCCAATGATGCGTCTGTTTCGCTAAGCTGTGGACCCTGCCTCCTGTAAAGAGAAAGGGCTTGTATACAAGACTACTGCGAGCCTCTGAGGCTGATAGTATCGCCAGACCCATGGGGCACGGCCAGAACGTTGCCACCCCTCATTTCACGAAGGAATAAGGGAAGTTGAAAGAAGAGTTTTTCCTTTGACTTCCTGCTGTGCAGACGCCATCAAAAGCCGGATGAAGCTATTTGGCTTCAGCTATGCAATTGACGTTGCTGGAGTTGTGTAGCTTTAACTCAGCTTTTGCCCTGCAGTGTAGACGTGCCCTTAGAAAATACAATAACGCTCAGGAAAGTGGTTCCCTCTGGGCCCAATCTGGACTCAAATGGGACTAGAAACTGATTGCTATGAGAACCCAGAGGTGGCTTTTTAAACCGAAGTGTCACGCTCTCTTCTTGCAGCACAACGAAAGACACAGTCCTGAATGGTTACTACATCCCGAAGGACCTCTGTGTATTTGTCAACCAGTGGCAAGTCAATCATGATGAGTAAGTACCCGCAGAGTCCTGACGGGGTGCTAGCTTGCGATCCATCCAGCTCGATGTGCCGGCCCCTGTTTATTCTGCACAACACACGTAACTCCTGTGTACCTGCTGTAAGGTTGGTTGGTGCTTAGGTACACAGATCATGACGGTGCTGTGTGCATGGCGGGGCCCATGAGGGACTAGCCACTTTCCAAGCAAATAAAAGGGAACGTTCCCTTCCCCTAGTGCATCAAAAACCCCAAACCTAGATGAGGTGGCCCTGCTGAGTTTCTGTGCTTTCCCCACTCTCCACCGGACTGAGAATATCTGTTGTGAGAGGACACAGAGATGGCCAGGAAGGGGAGCGGTGAGTGTGTTAGAAGTGGGGTGCCAAGGGCTATGGGTAGGTTGCTGGGGGAAACAAACTCTGCACAGATAGCCCAGGTCCCCAGCAAACCTCCCGCCTGGATCTGCTGTGTATGTAGGTTTGGTTTGCACCCCAGCCCTTGCTGACGAACGGATCAGGGAGAAATCTGTTGCGAGACAGGAAAAAGAACTGGGAATGGGGCGACCAGATGTCCCATTTATAAAGGGACAGGCCCAGATTTAAGCCCTCCTCCGGGTGCCCCGAATTTTTCTTATAAACAGACATCAGGGAGTCGGGGGATGTGACCCTGCATGGTTCCCCATCATGCATTGTCTTAGGAAGATTCAGTGCCAGGTACCAGAACAGGCTGGTGCATCCAGGGAACCAGCCAGGCATGGAAGCCAGAAAGTGCCTGGAAGGGAGGATCAAGTCAATTGGCCACCACCGGCCCTGCTCCTGTGTGAGACAGGTGTATGGGAGTGTGTGTCACCTCTCCCCGAGTGTGTGTGTGTGAGGGGGAGAGGGACGGGGAGGGGAATGTGCGTCACTCCTCCTCCTGTGACTCCTGAAGCCTTGACGTTCTGAGCTATATAATATTTCTTCTTACCAGAGGCTCCGTGCAGTTGTTAGTTTGAAGGTTTGTACTGCATAGTTCTGCTTGATTGCCCTTGAATCCTCTTGAAGACGAGTAATTTTACCAGGTGTCCTGTATTCTGCATAGGGAACTAGTCACTCTGCCTGGCATCACTGCAGGCAGCCCAAAGGAAACCATCACACAGAGACAGCAGAGCTCAAACCAGAATCTCTGGTGTAGGAGGGATGGGATGGGGAATACACAGAGAGCTGCTCATGTGGAAATTGACCGGCATAGGGGAATTAGCACTGCCCTTTAGCCATTTTGGTCTATACCTAACAGCAAATCTCCCCATCCGTTTCCCCACGTAGGAAACATCGGGATGATAATTCTGATTCCCTGCATCAGTGATGCCCCTCCCCTGGAATACTGGGTCCAAAGCTGGTCATCCCATCTCCTAAAGGGTACAGCAGGGATAGGAAGGGTCCAGAACCAGGGAAGGGGAAAAGGTCAGAAGGCTGGAAAGATTTGTAGAGGCAGAAAGACTGAAGAGGCTGGGATTGTTGTGTTTAGAGGGCAGCTGACCAGGTGGGGGACACGGCAGGGTGTAGGCATGGTAGGGTGATGCTGTTCACCCTCTTATGCCAGAGCGGGAAGGGAATTGTCAACCGCACCAGAAAAAGCAGCACATGTAAAACCTGATCGCAGCCTGTAAGGACCGACCTGAGGAGCAGCAATTTGATAGCGGGGGCTCTCCAATCTAGCAGCAAAGGTACAAGAAACGGGGGGTGGAGGGAGGGAGCTGACACTGGCCACATTCAGACTAGAAATCAGGCGCTAATTTTAACCGAGGGAATTCATCATTGGAACAATTTCCCCAGGGTTGGGTTCTCCCTTCCAGTCAGTTGATAAATTAGGGCAGGATGTTTATTGGTGAGATTAGCTGTCGTTCAGAGAGGCATTAATTGCAGGAAGATCTGTGGCCTGTTACACAGGAGAGTAGACTAGGTGTCCAGAGCGGCTCCTTCGAGCCTCGTGGCTTGTGAAATATACATCCGATCCTGGGAAGGCGTTGCCACAAGATGCTAGTGAGGCTGCTTAGCAGGGTTCAGAAAGGGATCATTAGACTGTTAGGAGATAATGAGAACATTAACCGGGACACCAGAGAGGATTAAAACCATGTCTGTAAGGCTCTATGCAATTGACGTTGCTGGAGTTGTGTAGCTTTAACTCAGCTTTTGCCCTGCAGTGTAGACGTGCCCTTAGAAAATACAATAACGCTCAGGAAAGTGGTTCCCTCTGGGCCCAATCTGGACTCAAATGGGACTAGAAACTGATTGCTATGAGAACCCAGAGGTGGCTTTTTAAACCGAAGTGTCACGCTCTCTTCTTGCAGCACAACGAAAGACACAGTCCTGAATGGTTACTACATCCCGAAGGACCTCTGTGTATTTGTCAACCAGTGGCAAGTCAATCATGATGAGTAAGTACCCGCAGAGTCCTGACGGGGTGCTAGCTTGCGATCCATCCAGCTCGATGTGCCGGCCCCTGTTTATTCTGCACAACACACGTAACTCCTGTGTACCTGCTGTAAGGTTGGTTGGTGCTTAGGTACACAGATCATGACGGTGCTGTGTGCATGGCGGGGCCCATGAGGGACTAGCCACTTTCCAAGCAAATAAAAGGGAACGTTCCCTTCCCCTAGTGCATCAGAAACCCCAAACCTAGATGAGGTGGCCCTGCTGAGTTTCTGTGCTTTCCCCACTCTCCACCGGACTGAGAATATCTGTTGTGAGAGGACACAGAGATGGCCAGGAAGGGGAGCAGTGAGTGTGTTAGAAGTGGGGTGCCAAGGGCTATGGGTAGGTTGCTGGGGGAAACAAACTCTGCACAGATAGCCCAGGTCCCCAGCAAACCTCCCGCCTGGATCTGCTGTGTATGTAGGTTTGGTTTGCACCCCAGCCCTTGCTGACGAACGGATCAGGGAGAAATCTGTTGCGAGACAGGAAAAAGAACTGGGAATGGGGCGACCAGATGTCCCATTTATAAAGGGACAGGCCCAGATTTAAGCCCTCCTCCGGGTGCCCCGAATTTTTCTTATAAACAGACATCAGGGAGTCGGGGGATGTGACCCTGCATGGTTCCCCATCATGCATTGTCTTAGGAAGATTCAGTGCCAGGTACCAGAACAGGCTGGTGCATCCAGGGAACCAGCCAGGCATGGAAGCCAGAAAGTGCCTGGAAGGGAGGATCAAGTCAATTGGCCACCACCGGCCCTGCTCCTGTGTGAGACAGGTGTATGGGAGTGTGTGTCACCTCTCCCCGAGTGTGTGTGTGTGAGGGGGAGAGGGACGGGGAGGGGAATGTGCGTCACTCCTCCTCCTGTGACTCCTGAAGCCTTGACGTTCTGAGCTATATAATATTTCTTCTTACCAGAGGCTCCGTGCAGTTGTTAGTTTGAAGGTTTGTACTGCATAGTTCTGCTTGATTGCCCTTGAATCCTCTTGAAGACGAGTAATTTTACCAGGTGTCCTGTATTCTGCATAGGGAACTAGTCACTCTGCCTGGCATCACTGCAGGCAGCCCAAAGGAAACCATCACACAGAGACAGCAGAGCTCAAACCAGAATCTCTGGTGTAGGAGGGATGGGATGGGGAATACACAGAGAGCTGCTCATGTGGAAATTGACCGGCATAGGGGAATTAGCACTGCCCTTTAGCCATTTTGGTCTATACCTAACAGCAAATCTCCCCATCCGTTTCCCCACGTAGGAAACATCGGGATGATAATTCTGATTCCCTGCATCAGTGATGCCCCTCCCCTGGAATACTGGGTCCAAAGCTGGTCATCCCATCTCCTAAAGGGTACAGCAGGGATAGGAAGGGTCCAGAACCAGGGAAGGGGAAAAGGTCAGAAGGCTGGAAAGATTTGTAGAGGCAGAAAGACTGAAGAGGCTGGGATTGTTGTGTTTAGAGGGCAGCTGACCAGGTGGGGGACACGGCAGGGTGTAGGCATGGTAGGGTGATGCTGTTCACCCTCTTATGCCAGAGCGGGAAGGGAATTGTCAACCGCACCAGAAAAAGCAGCACATGTAAAACCTGATCGCAGCCTGTAAGGACCGACCTGAGGAGCAGCAATTTGATAGCGGGGGCTCTCCAATCTAGCAGCAAAGGTACAAGAAACGGGGGGTGGAGGGAGGGAGCTGACACTGGCCACATTCAGACTAGAAATCAGGCGCTAATTTTAACCGAGGGAATTCATCATTGGAACAATTTCCCCAGGGTTGGGTTCTCCCTTCCAGTCAGTTGATAAATTAGGGCAGGATGTTTATTGGTGAGATTAGCTGTCGTTCAGAGAGGCATTAATTGCAGGAAGATCTGTGGCCTGTTACACAGGAGAGTAGACTAGGTGTCCAGAGCGGCTCCTTCGAGCCTCGTGGCTTGTGAAATATACATCCGATCCTGGGAAGGCGTTGCCACAAGATGCTAGTGAGGCTGCTTAGCAGGGTTCAGAAAGGGATCATTAGACTGTTAGGAGATAATGAGAACATTAACCGGGACACCAGAGAGGATTAAAACCATGTCTGTAAGGCTGTGGTGTCCAACGCACTAGCCACATGTGGCTATTTGGCCAGTTGAGTGCGGCTAGTTGCCTCACCACGAATAATGTGGCTAGTGTGCTGGTCGGACACCACAGTTACAAGCGATCTAAGCGGCAATGCGTCTTAGGCCTGGGTCTGAAGCTGTGCCTGAAACCCCTCCAAGCTGCCCCCCCTGGCCTCCAGCATCTCCCCCCAGGCAGTGGTAGAATGGACGTTTCAGGAGCTTTGCTCTACTATTCTAGGAAGCTTTGGAAAGAACCTTCCGCTTTCAACCCCGAGCGTTTCCTCAGTGCCGGGGGGAAGGAAGTAGACAAGGCGGAAAGTGAGAAGGTGCTGGCCTTTGGCCTGGGGAAGAGGAGGTGCATTGGCGAGACCATCGGCAGGTGGGAGATCTTCCTCTTCCTGACCACCCTGCTGCAACAGCTGGAGTTCAGCGTCTCCAACGGGGAGGAGGTGGACATGACGCCTTTGTATGGCCTGTCCATGAAGCACAAGAGGTGTGAGCACTTCCAGGCTAAGCAGCGCCTCCCACGCCAGAGTTCAGAGTGAGTCACTGGACCCTGGAAGGGGAGGACGGGAAGATCCCATTTGAATGTTACCCCTCAGGACCATAAACGAAGATTCAGTGGACCCAATATCGCTTCCGTTGGACTGCTCTACTGATTTGTCCTGCCTCTCTGTTATCTAGCTCTGTCACCCCGAGTGGTAGACTCACAGCAGACGTTCCAGGGTAGTCTGGCTCCTTCCCACAGCTGTGGTGGCTTTGCTGCACGGTTGCTGGGTCTCTACTGAATTCCTTGTTTCTAAACGCTATGCCATGAATGGCTGTTTGTTATAAGGAGGCAGACGTTGAAGCCATCGGGACCACCCATGTGCTTAAAGTTAGACGTGTGTTTAAGACCTTTGCTAAGCGGGAACCTAACCCTCTCCCAAAGGTCACGATGGCTTTCATTGTGCAGGCCCTAGACATCTTAGGAGGCAGATCCTCAGCTGCAACTAACTCCCTATTGGAACTGGGACAACTGATTTGATAATTCACGACTAATCCTTGTGTTCAGTCTCACCTATGACAGTGCAGAGGGTTAGGCTTGTCAATTTGCATCGACTATTCAATTAATCAATAAGAGCTCCTCTGTCCTTGAAGTGTAGCAACAGCCTCAGGGCTGTCGCTACATTTCAAAGGCAAAAGTGCTACGGGGAGCTTGGGGCCAGCAGGGGAATCAAGCAGTCCCCCATTGGCCCCAGGCTCCCTGGGGCTTTTCAAAGCAGCAGCGCTGCAGGGAGCCCGGGGTCAGCTGGGGATTCTGAGTCCCCAGCTGACCCCAGGCTCCGTGCGGTGCTGCTGCTTTGATACGCTGCGAGGAGCCCAGTACTTCCAACTAGGCATTTCAAAGTGGCAGCACCACCTGGAGTCCTGGGTCTGGCCCCAGATTCCATGCGGCGTGCTGCCTTGAAGCACCCTCTTTTTCTCCCCTGCACCCGTTGCCTCTTTCTGATAGAGGCAACAGGGGGGAAGGAAGCAACTAGTCAGTCACATCCTGGCTGTGTCTAGACTGCCCAGTTTTTCTGAAAAATCAGCCGCTTTTCCGGAAAAACTTGCCAGCTGTCTACACTGGCCGCTTGAATTTCCACAAAAGCACTGACTTCCTACTGTAAGAAATCAGTGCTTTTTGCAGAAATACTATGCTGCTCCCGTTCGGACAAAAGTCCCTTTTGTGCAAAAGTTTTGCACAAAAGGGCCAGTGTAGACAGCTGAGACTTGTTTTGCACAAAAAAGCCCCGATGGCAAAAATGGCGATCAGGGCTTTTTTGCGCAAAAGCGCGTCTAGATTGGCACTGATGCTTTTCAGCAAAATGTGGCATTTCCGGAAAATCATGCCAGTCTAGACGTAGCCCCCTAGTCCAGGCCTCTATCCATTAGGCAACACTGCTCAACTGGAAGCTGTATTTGAGAGCAGAATCCCTAGTAAACATTCTCCCCAGCTGGTGGACGCCATTAAATGTTATTAGCAACAGGAGTTAAAACTTTCCCTTAGCCCGGGCCCCCTCTTACGTGAGAAGCAAAATACAGGACAATGTAGCACTTTAAAGACTAACAAGATGGTTTATTAGATGATGAGCTTTCGTGGGCGAGCTTGTCTCCTGAACTCCGCTGGCAACTACCCCTGCCAAAGTGGATCAAGGCATGTGTGTGTCACGTTATTGGATTTTTATGTGAGCAGACAGGTCACTGCTGCACCCATGGGTGGTGTTTGGTCCAAATTCTGTACAAAGTGGGCCATGTGAGGAGTCCAGTGAAAGCTTATGCTCTGCCGCGTCTATGTGCATGACTCAGATACTTGTATGATTTTTGTATGTGGAGTGATGAAAATGGGCTCTGGGCTTGTACTTCAAATGATTTCTGTCTGGGAGAGAACAATGGGTCTGGACCGCCTATTGCGAGGGATGATTCTCCAATGAATGGCTGTGCTAATTATCAAGGCTTCGTGGACAATGGCTCTCAGAATGGCCGACACACACCTGAGGGAGGCGTCTGGAAACCTGCCAACCAGCCAGTGCATCATGGCTACTTGCATGTAAGACCCACAGGTCGCTTGATCATGTGACCAGCTCCAGTTTGGGAGGCACCAGGAATATAAAAGTGCCATGAGGCCGTCTCCATCTTGTCTTCAATCCTGCTCCTGATTCCAGATGCATCCTCGCTAGGGACAGAGAGCCGGGAAGGATTTGCTGAGCCATCCTGATACGGGATGGACACCAGAGACGTTTAAGCTGGCAGTGTGTAGCATCTCTGCTAAGAGCCTGCGTCAAGAACTTGGTGATTGATGTCTGTCATGTATTCTCATTCACAATCTCACTCGCAACCCTTTCCTTTCTGTTCTTTAATAAACCTTTAGATTCTAAAGGATTGGCCCAGCGAGCTTTTTGGGGCAAGATCTAAGATATAAGTTGACCTGGGACGGGGGCTGGTCCTTTGGGACTGGGAGAACCTGTTTGGAGTTGGTGAGATTGGGTTTTATAACCTCTCACATGTGTAAGGTGTAGGTCTGGTTCTGGCACAAGTAAAGCTGGGGTGTCTGAGGAGGTTTGCTTGCGAGGCTTAGTGCTCTGTGTGACTGGTTTGGTGTCTTATACAGGAGAACCCCAATCTTGGGCTGTAGGTTGCCCTGGTTTTAAGCAATTCGCCCTGATCTGACGCTCTCAGCAGTGCCCAGACCGGCCTGATATGTTACAGTGTGTAAGAGATCTAATCAGGCGCTCGATGAATTCACTTATGGCTGACAAGCCCAATTTGAGAGCGATGCACCTTGGGACAAATGTCACATCCAGCTGTTGTGTGAGAGGGAATCCAGGATCCCAGTTTGCTGCTTTCTTCCTTCTCCCTTTGCTTCCGCCTCTGCACCCAGCGCCAGATATTTCCTCCTGGCGGGATGGGCTTTGGCACACGCTTCCCAGATTTCTACACTGTAGCGGAGCCATTCCACAGCATTTTTGCATGGACTGTGGTACTGCTGTAAAGGGCGACCCTGCTCCTTATTGCCAGGCCAAATCTCACAGCACAAAATATTCTCGGGGATACGGTCTCCTGTCCTCCCATTCTCCTGGCATGGCCGGGCCATTGCAACCTGTTGCTCTTGTTCATGGTTTCTAAGTGCACCAGTCTTGCCTGCTCTAGTCTCTCCGAGCTTGGAATCTTGTTTTCCCACTTGAGTTTTGGATTCCTATGCTGGCACATCATGTAGAATAAGCTTGGGAAAAATACAGCTGGTGGGCCAGATCCGGCCTGCCAAGCCACTGGATCTGGCCCATGGAGACAGTGGGGAGCCCCAGGTCCCCTACTTGCCCTACAGCCCCACATTCTGCTCAGAAATGTGGTTGCAGGGTGTTTTCTCTTTGAGTCCGGAGGGGAGAGGGGGAGATTTAGACACTGCTTCCATCCCCAGCAGAATCCCATTGGCTGGTTTCTGGACAGAAAGTGGCCAATGATACCATCTACATGTTTTGTTAGTCTCTAAGGTGCTGCAAGACTATTGTTAAAGTTTTCCCAGTTACTGGCTAACTCAGCTCTCCCACTGAAGCTGTTTGAATAACAGGCAGCCACGAAGTACAACTCTCCTGCTCAGTTACTCACTCAAGCACATGGCCAAGCAGGCAGAAATGTTTTAAGCTCTGTAAGCCTTTAGCTCTACAGGCAGGCTGGTTTGGCTGCTGGCTGGTAAGTCTCCTGGCTCAAACCTGCCTCTGGGACCCCACCCCTTCTCTTCCCCCAACCCTCTGCCTCCCACTCCTGCCTCGCTACTCCATATATGCCCAAACCCCCTCCCAGATCTGGCACCCCAGATCACAATCCCCTCTTACGCTAGGTTACATCGCAAACCCCTGCACTCCAGTTCCCTGCCCTAGGTCACAACTGCCTCCTTCACCCAAACTTCCTCCCAGACCCCATTCTCCCTCCTGCACCCCAATCCCTTACCCCAAGCTCCCTTCTGCACCCAACCTCCATCCCAGACCCTGCACCTCCTCCATTAATGTCATGGAAGAGTGCGGTCCTTGACCACTTTCCAGATTCTTGTAGGGTCCCCTGGAAAAAAATCTTGCCCACCCCTGATGTAGAAGGTAGTTGGTCTCCAGATGCACCTAGTATATTTATGCCAATCCACGCTTCTGAGCCATAAAGCAGGGATGACAGCACACTGCCATCATGGCTCCTCTCAGTCTTTGGCTTCAGTCTTGGTCCACGGGGCTTCGGCCCTGGGCCCAGCAAGTCTAAGATCAGCCTCGGCAGGGCCATTAAACTGAGTCATGACCCACTTTGGGGTCCTGCCCATAGTTTGAGAATTGCTGCTCTAGGCCATACCACGTGGTGTCAGGTCAAGTATGGAGGTCCAGAATCTTGCTGCAAGGTGCATTTTTGGAGGGGTTAGCTGATGTTAGCAGAAGAGGCCCTTTACTCCGAAAAACTGACTTCTATTATGGCTAGTGCAGTGAAAGGAACTCCGGCGTATGCTGCTTCAGGCTTGGCTCTCTGTCCACATGAAATATTTTTGATCCGGTATCTTGGTTAGGTTGAGGAAGCATTTCTCTGCAGCACAGAGAGGACAAAAGAATATGAACCTAGCGAGGGTTTCCATGAAAAGAAACCCCCATCCTGACTTGTACCTGGAGATTTTAGTGCAAAAGCCAGAAACGTTAGCCACTGCACAGCATTTAAAAGACGCAAACCAAACCTCGGGGTTGCCATCTGACCACTAGAGGGAGCCACTGCAGCCTCGTGAATATAATAAAGATTTATTGGATGATAGAAATTTGCAAAGATAAAACAGTTCTGACATTCCCAAGGTGCAGCAGGGGCTGGCTGCTGGCTAATTCTGTTTGACTTGTTCAGCCGAAACAGAATGAAGATGGAAATGAGAATTCCCCATCCTGCCGCTGCATTAAAACCCAGCTCAGCACTGTTACGCTTGCTCGTGTTTAAGTCTCACTGATTTCAATTAGACTTAAGTGGATACTCAAGTGCACTGCTGACTTGGGGCCTAAATTAATTGTATCCCTGCCCCCAAGTCTTCCTTGTCTTCATTCAGGTAGTTGGGGTTGCATGGGTGTAAACAAGAACAGAATTTGGCCCTTTGGCTATAGAGTAACACGCATCTTAAAGGAGAGTGGGGTATTTTATGTTACGATACATGAAGGGGCTCTGCCCCAAACCACAAACCATTCCACATTTTGTACAGGCTCAGCTCATAGTGTGTTTTCATAAAAGTGTCTAAGTCTAGCAGCCCCAGGGTTGTGGTGCATTAGCTCCAGCCAGATGACCGGTGTTTGGTTACTTATGCTGTACGGGCATGATTGTGTCTAGAGGGAGGTTTCTGAAGGTGTCTAATTGCAGGGTGTGAAGGGGCGTGACCAACTCCCCCTGGGGTCTGCCCTCTTCCTTTTCCCTGGATTACTCGGCAGCGATTCCTTGCTCAGGGCTGTCGTGGCTCCTCTTTAGGTTATTGCCCCGAGTGGGGTGTGAGGAGGGCCTGGGCCCACCCTCTCTCCAGGCCCCAGCCCAGGGCCCAAAGGTGAGGGTGTCCTTCCTGTCCGCCCCCCACCTGGCTGATGGGGCTAACCGCTGTAACACGTCAGCCCGCAAGCAGTGCTCCAGCCACCCGCCCTGGGCTATTTCCTTACCCCGCTCGCCCTGCCTTTCCTTCGTCAATGCCT